AGGCATTATGGGTAAGGTGTCCCATTAATATCCTGTGGTATAATTTGAGCTCTGTTAGCATTTGCCCCAGTTACTAAAACTATATTAAATGGTTTAATGACAGCCTGGCATCTAATTAGTGTGTTTCCCGGATGTTGTTCCTAGATTAGGGGGACAGTATTTCCAGTGAAGAAAGTACAACCGGAGGAAAATTACTTGCTGAAGTACCAGAACCTGCATTCAACAAGTCCTTGAAACTTCTAGACCAGTTCTTTTTACTAGAGACTAGTCAACGGTCTCTTTCCTAACACCCCAAGTGCCTTCATTGGAAGGAATGTTTCTCTTTCTTGTACAGAGAGTAAATTATGGCTCTTTATGTCAGAAATGTCCAAATGTGTAGAGAATTTTTTAGTTCATTTGAGTCAAACTTGATGACTTATGCCCAGGAGCAAGATCTCAAATGCTCCAGAGAATAAGTATGGCAACTTTTAAAAAATGTATTTCAAATTAAAAAGTGAACAGAAGAAAATAAGTAGAAGAAAAAAAACTGAGAAAATAAGGAGGGGTGGGTGGTGGTGGATTACAGGACAGTTAGCATTACGTGCTTTCTTGAAAGTGGTTAAGGCTTATTTGGTTGTTTTTATTGTTCAAGTAGTTTCCTGCCTTTTCCCCCCACCCCAATCCAACCCCCGCTTATTTGTTTTTAAAGTACTTACCCAAGGACATGCTTACAGAGTTTAGGGAGAAGAGAAGGGAGACACGGAGAGAAACATCCATGGGGAGAGTTGCCAGGGACAGAATCCACTTAAGGGACATTGCTCCAAAGAATGCACATGGGCCAGAACTGGATAAGGCTCATTACAAGGGTGTGTTAACCATGCTCTGACCAGGGTGGCTCAGTTGGTTGGGTGAACTCCTGCAGAACAAAAGGTTGCCTGCTCAGTCAGTGAACTGGCTGAGCCAAGTTCCTGTGCCATGACCCCAAGGGCAATAGGAAGTTAGAGTGCAGACACAGCAGCTTCAATCTCTCCTCACCAGGTAAGATGGATCCCGAGCACACCACATGCTGGCCTCCCTGTGAAGCCAAGACCTCTCTGTGGTTCCTAGGTGACCTTGAAGCCAACATAGCCGGCTAAGTCATGTAGGAAGAGCAACACTTGAGTGCTGACATCCTGTGTAATCTGTGATCACCCAGGGAAGGGATAGAGAAAGAAGGCTGACTCTTCAACTTGAAGTGACTGAGACCAAGATCAATGCCTTCAAGGTGAAGTATCCAGGTAACCTGGATGAACGACTGAGGCAGTTACTGAGAGCCTGGAACAGCAAGAGGAAGGAAGCCCAGGGACTGGAGGCTGAACCTGGTGGCAGACCTCATGGGAGACCAGCCCAGGCCCTCCAGGGCAAACATGAAGTGTTAGCTGCGCTGTGCCTGGTATTATGGAACTGAGATGCACACACCTCTGCAGCTCCTCATGATCCAGCTGCTCTTCTCTGGGGGACTGAGGATGTCTGCACCGTCTGAACTTTGGCTACCACCACTGAGGATGACCAAGTGCATTCCATGTGCCAATGCTATTAAAACCTAGCAGTGAGCCAAGATGAGGGACCCAAGCATTGGCAGAGCCAGACTGGCTTCTCCATTAAAGGTGTCATTTATAGAGGTCTTAGTCTGCACCAGGCAGGGCTTTGAGCACTATACAGATACTTCCACGTAAGGGAGATAGACTCTGGCGTGCCCATTAAATGGGTTCCTTCAGGAAGATTTGGAACCTTGTCCAATGCATAGAAAAAACGTCAAGTTAGTGGTTATTACTGTTGTGATTCTACAGGTGAGCAAATGAGCACAGAGCTAAGGAGCTGAAGGCAAATTGGGATAGAAAGAGGAGTCGTGTGGCTCCAGAGCCCACACGTGAAACCACTGGGTCATTCTGCCACCCCTAGGCCTTGAGGCCCTCAGTGTAGATCTGTAAAGCAGGGCAGGTCACGTGGGTGCGATCCACCCTGACCTACACTTAGGAAGCCTACTGCGCCCATTCTCCAGCCCTTGGCCCTTGAGTGAATGGAGTCTCCTGAGGTTTGCAAAGCAGGGACAGTATGTTTGTGGACTGACTGAGGTGATGCCTAAGTGCTCAAAGTGACTGGCTCAGTCACCACTCTAGAAATGTTAGTTCGTAGAAGTATGATTCCTGTGATCCCAATTTGTTACTCTTTTGTGTTAAAGTCACTCTTTCTGATCATGGAATTAGCAAGATAGCTGGATCCTGTAGTTTTAAAAAGTAATCTTTCTTCCTGTTTCTCAGGTCATCCTATTAAAGCAGATGGCTTTACACTTCAAAAATAACCGTATGATCCAACTACATGCTCCTCTTACATACGTACAACTACAAACTGCAAATCTCCCCATCCCCACCCACTTTTGTAGGGCCCTATGAGCTAAGAGTACTGTAAACACAAAAATTTCTATGGGCAAAACTATTTCACGATGAGAATATTATATGAAACTCAACCTTCAGTGTACATAAAGTTTTAAGTAACTCTTTAATAAGGCCCTCAACTACACCCTCATATCAGGTGTAGTTGAGGGCCTGTAAGGGGAGCTTAGGCCCTACCACTGGTCCATCTCCCCCAACAGGAAGAGGCACTTTCTACCTTCAACAGGAAGATGTCTTACTCTGCTACTCTGGCAGGAAGTACTAGATCTTTCCCCAACAACCAGCCAAACTCAGTGCACTGCAAACTGTTTGCTCCAATCAACTGGTTACAATAACCCCTCTGAAATACCCACCCTATCACGCTTGTTCTTCACCTTTGTTCTCTGGATTTGCACTTGGTTCACCACTGGACCAAATGTCTCAAACTGAAATTTGTTGTCCCAGAATAAACTCACTTTGTTGGAGAAATATTCCTTGAGGTGAAGAGAACACAGCCATGCTCCATGGCCTATGACCGCTTCTGGGCCATCAGGACAAAGTAGGGTAGCTGCAAGAGACTCACAAAACCTAAAGTACGTACTGTATGGCCCATTACAGGAAAAGTTTGTCAAATCCTGTTCTATTAGGATTCAGCCTACAATCGGATTAACACCCTAAGTAAAAAAACGAGACATGTAAATATTATAAATTATTTCAAAGCTTGATATAGTAGGATAAAAAGGCAACTTGAAAACCGTCAACTATAATTGGTTCCAGTAAGGCTCAAATATACCCATTTCTAGACTTGATGTATTTATATTTGGTGAAATGTAAAGACTCCAAAGTCAAAGTTGTGGAAAGCAATCTTAATCTATGATTACTGTGACCTTACATCAAAACAGTAAGCTCTCTTGATGTTGGTTATAAATGTTAAAAAAAAAAGTAAAATATTTAAGACATTCAACATTGAGAATTATAGTGTTTTATTTTCTTTATGAGTTCCCTTTCTATGCCGTGGCAGGTTTGGACCAGCTTCTGAAGTTTTATTTGTGCTTTCAATGGCAGAAAAATCGCAGAGTTCCTTTAGTGAGCTTTCTCATCTGCATCACTTCCTCTGAGACGCATTCATCTTTCACGCCACAACCCCTTTCCTCACTTAGTTCCTCTGGCTGCATACCCAGCACTACTTCTTCAATGGAGGCAGTGTCAATTTCCCAGACTCATCTACTATTTCTAGAACTCCATTTACATTCCATCCACATCCTGTAGTTTTCACACTTGTCTTGTCCGACTATGAGGAGTCAACACTGTCTGTAACTCTTGGAGTCTGGGTGCAAATCTCACAGTAGCATCCTTAACCTGAGCTTGCAGTTTCACCAGATGGTTTAAGGTTAATCAATTCATGCAGGATTCTGAAACGATGCAACCAGCCTCTTTGCTGGAAATAGAATGTTCTTGTTGTCTCCTTGTAATTACCTTCCCCTTCAGTGCAGCACTAAGATACCTTGGCCTGAATGCTAGTGAAACTGACTGGGATTTGTTTCTCATTACAGTCCTCAACCTAAAGTAGAAGAAAATGCTCCAACTGAAACATAAGCAGCTTTCTCTTCCTACTGCAACTTAAACTAAAAGAGGTTGCAGCAACTTTACCTTAGTTTTTACATTCATGGGGCTTTTAAAATATGGTTTGTACTGGAGCTTCACGTAGGCCTAGGTCTTCTCACCTTGTCTTTGCTTTGCTATCACCATTTTCGAATCTAACCACATTCAATTTCACTTGTGTTATCGCTTTTTGCTTCCTTACTGCTGTCCGCATTCTGGACCAATTCCCTCTTTTGATTATCAACTTTTGTAAAATGTCATACAGGTTTATCACAGGAAGACAAGAAAGCAATACAACTATTCTTTACTGCTGTGTGGAAATTAACTCACCACCAACAAACTTAGAAAGAAGTGATGTAACTGGTTGCTAATCATGATGCACATCTTTTATTTGCAAAATGGTTTATGGACTAAAGAGCGAGCTGCAAAGTTTATGTAACAATTCAGTTAGTAACTGGTAACTGAATTTCAACCACGGTGGGGGCTGGTGTTACTTAGCTGTGAAAAATGCATGTTGGAATGGTGCAAAGTAAGAACTACATGCATCTAAAAAGAAAACCTTGTATTAGTTCACAGTCAATCTTTAATTAAATTTAGGTAACTACTAGCCAGTCCTAATCCTAGTTACATAAAACTTGGAGCTTCTCAACGGAACTCTATTTCTCAAAGGAATGCTAGTTCCAAGACTCTGAATTACTCTTTGGAGCTAGAAGAATGTTCACACAATTTTCCCAATTAGGATTTGTAGACAATCTAAAAATCTATTTTTTTTTGACAACTTAGGCCCCCTTTGCTCATTTTAATGATCTTGAGTTCTGCAAAAACTACTGTTGTCCAGATTAGAAAACTTTACAATCATCACAAGGCACAAGACCATGTGTACTTACTTACAGCTTGTTCCACAGCAACCAGTACAATGCTGACTGATGTAAAAGAGGAGCGTCCATCACATTAATGTTGTTTTAGTTTTGACTTTATCTTAGCCAAAAAGGCTGAAACAGCAATCAGTTTTGTTTTTGAATTCATTTATTTAGTAAATCTTTTCATTCAGGGCCATAAACAAAGTTTACATCGACCTTTAAAAGAAAATTAACTTGCCCTGGCTGGTATGGCTTGGTGGGTGGAGCGCTGGCCTGCAAACTGAAGGCTTGCTGGTTCAATTGCAGGTCAAGAGGTATGCCTGGATTGTGGGCCGGGACCCCACTAGGGGGCGTGTGAGTGGCAACCAGTTGATGTATCTCCCATGCATACAACGATGTTTCTCTCCTCTCTCTAAATGAAGAGCAAGGGCCAGAGAAAAAGGGAAATAGAGAAAGAGAGAGAATGAGAATGAATGAATGAATGAAATTAACATTGACTATTTATGAAATTTCCCCTCTTTATATTTCTCATATTTGAGAAACCCCTCAGACAATATGCCTAATTAATGACAAATTAACCTAGTATTAGTTTCAAGACTCCCAGCTTGCAACCATCTCTGCCTGACTTGAACAGAGCTCAAGTCATATAGGATGATCACCCACTGGTACATCAAAGAGTACTTATAAAATGTCTAGTAGTTCAGCAAATGTAAACCCCAGAACATTTGATCTCTGAGAATTTCAGGGGCTGAAAAGATGTCATTATTTTTAAGAAAAGATGACTACTGTTAAAAGGTCTGCCCCCCCACCCCCAACCAATGGCCTGTTCTTAAACTACTGATTCAGAAAAATTATACTATCCTTGAAATCATATTTACTTTTGAAAGCTGAATGAAGGAAAAAACTGCTAATTGAATACAATATCAAAATTCTGCTCATGTCAATTTTTTGCTCAGTTTTTAAAATGTTTTATCCAAACTAATTTACAAACTTCTTACCTTATTAAATAAATTCTTTGATTTCTTGATCATATAAAGCATACAGACGTTTTCTTAAGAAAAACATCCTGCAACTTTATTCCTAAATGAAAACAAATTTACAGGTAAAACAACATACAAAAACTAATACCGATTATGACCCTCACACTTTCCATTTTCCATTATGTCCTCATCCACATACATTAATCACAACAAGTCATGATGTGAACAGCAGTGGTAAAAGTTTAATCATTGGACATTTACGCTTTCTTATTTTTAACTTATGCTCTAGTCATAATGTTTTCAGTGCTTAGCCATTAAAAAAATACATAATACATGCACATTTCTGTACATTTCAATTCTCTCAGGTAGAAGAGATGAGAGCCCCAATTTTACTGATCAGAAAAAGCCCACAACAAATATAATCTCAAATATATCATCTATCTACTTTGCACACCTTGTGTTATGGAAATTTACAGGCATACTCTCACCATCAGACCTGAGATGGAAAGGCTAATCATACTTCAGTATATTCCAAACTGGTTATGCCTTGCTTTATGTGTAATGCCTTTGTTACTAGACAAGGTTTCCAATGATCAAAAGTTTTAAAGCTTTCAGAAGAAAAAGACAAGAGGATCCTAACTACTGTGGTTCAACCTGGTTGGGAACCCTCTGCAAAGCAAAGGGTCGCCTATTCGATTCCCGGTCAGGGAACATACCCAGACTGCAGGTTCAATCCCTGCTGAGTCCATGTATGGGAGGAACACACTGTCATTTCTGTCTCCCCCGCCCCAAATCACTAAACATATCCTCCAGTGGGGATTAAAAAAACAAAAACTGAGACATGCCAAGTGAGACAGTTTGGAAGTAGATGTCCCCCTCTACCCACCATAAGTGTTTGTTACTTTAAACTACTAAGTTTTGGGTAATTTATTACATAGTGGTATATAAGTAATACAGAGGGCCCCAATCCATATCCAAAAAGTAAAATGTACAACTTATGAATTAGCTGAAAAGGTCTAAAATTCAGAATTGCCTTTATCTTTGGTCAACAATAATTTCAAAACTCCACAGCTTTCTGAAGAAAAAATAATAATAAAAATTAAAAATCGCACAACAACCCAGAGATTTAAGGGGATGAAAACCTCAGCAAGAATGTAAATCAGTTACTAGAAATATACTTCATTATATCAGGAAAACAAAATAGATTTTACCTTTATAAATCCATTTTCTTTTAGTTGGACAATCCTTCGTTTCCAACTCATCATTATTGTGCCAGAAGTACTTTCTACATTTAAGACAGAAAGATACACTACCTCTTTTTCCTATTTCCAGTCATTTTCCAAGACCCAGGAATCCTTTTCTGACATCTCTAAGATTCCTGAAAAGAGATGTTTTCTTTTAAATTACTTTGTGTAACAACCAATGCCTTTTGCAAATAATATATTTAAAATAGCTTATATATCCTCATTAACATGTTCAGTAATCACAACAGTTCATTATGTGAACAGCAGTGAAAAGGTTTAATCACTGGATATGAATTTATTGGAGGAAGCAAAGATATAATCAAATAATCAAAATGAGAACCTCAGTGTCCTTAGCAAAACAATAAAAACTAGTAACAAAAATCACACAAAAGTGATAAACAAATATAAATACAACTCGACTAAGAAAAATTCCATTTATAACCAAGTACAAACTTCTCTATCCACAAGTACACCAACAATACCTATGGCAGTGACCCCTTGTGGCTTCCCTGGATTAGTTAGTGACTTTCGGTTAAGCAGTCTACATTTGAGTAAATCTGTTCTGCAGTAATACAAAGAATGCACCAGAATAATGTGACAGCCACTCTTTCATCTTTCCTAAGAGAACCTCAACACCTGGAATCCAATTGAGCAGAAAAAAGAGCCCTCTTTTCTCTGTACTCTGAGGCGAACTGGCAGCACCTTTACTTTCACTCTATCTTTAAAAAACTGAAAACTCAGCGCCCCCATTCCTGGTACCCTCCCCAGCCCCACCCACCTCCACCTAGGTTCTCAGCAGGTTCCATACTTCTGAAGCCATTTGAAAAGAAGCCCTTTTGCCCACAGTTCCACTTCCATCGGTAAAATCTAGCCCCACCAGCCTTCCTGTTTTAATACACCTACACCCCATGGTGCTATCCATTTAAAGTTACCTTTGATGGGGTAGGAGGGCATTAAGACTACTTCGTGCTGATCACTGCTTATTTTCAAGATTATCAAATTGCACAGGGTTTCCCCACAAGCCCTGGTTCTTTCAAATGCATAACTGGTTGGACAGGAGGTTTTTTCAGGAACACATATGACACTCATCTATCTGCGTACCAGGGCCTGAAAAGACAAATTCACCTTAGATACTGTCTCTGCACTCAAGGAGCATCTTCTAGCAGGTTCCTTACAAACTCTGAGTCCTTAAAATTAGGGCAACCACCACAATGAGCCCCCACTTCACACCTACGAGACTGTGGAGAAAATGGAACTCTCATCCACTGTGAATGGCAATGTAAAGTGGTGCAGCCACTTTGGAAAAACAGTTCAGCTAGCTTTCCTCAAGAGGTTGGTTGGACATGAGGAGTTAGCATATTCCCCAGCAATTCCACCCTTAGGAATAGACTCATAAGAAAAGCAGGTTCAGCCCTGGCTGGCCTGACTCAGTGGATTGAGTGCTGCCCTGGGAACAGAAAGGGGGTTACATTCCCTGTCAGAGCACATGCCTGGGTTGTGGGCCAGGTCCCCAGCTAGGGGCCTGCGAGCAACTGACTGGTGTCTCTCTCACACACACAGGAGTCTCTCCCACTTTCTATCTCCCTTCCCTGCTCTCCAAAAAATAAACAAATAACATCTCTATAAATCAATCAATCAATCCAGGTCCTACCCTTTGCACGCCAAGCATGCTCATTCTGCATGGACCAATTTTCCCCAAATGTGACTGTTAAGAAAGCTATATAACCAACAGCTCTATGAGTTTCAGTCAAATAAAATATAAGCATATTATAGTAGAAAGTAGATGTAATAAATAATACCTTGAGCTGAGTCTTTTTGACTAGAATTTGGACAAAGTAACAAAAAGGGGAAAAAGAAACAATATTGCTTGGACATGCTGGAATTCTTCTTGCGAGTCTTGCAAGCAAGAGAAGGAAACGAAGAAGTTACAAACATTCTGGTAAGCAGGAAATAAATAAGCCACTTAATATGCTAAGGAGCTCTTCCAAGAAGCAAAATAGAAATTATGCCCTAACTAGCCCCATTTTGTTTTTCTATGAAAACTGCAATTTCATACCGTAAACATACAGCATCGTCCTAAGATATTCCCACTCCTGAAAGCTTTCTATGCTGCCCCACACCTTAAACAAAACCCTTCTCTACAGCCCCTCTTAAGACTGCTATTGACGAGTCCCCACTAGACCCTGAGCTTACCAAAACCTCACCTTATTTCCTTAATTGCCACATTGTTGCAAAGGGTCTTACAAGAAAACTGTCCGTTGAATTGAAAGTCGACGTCTTCTCCTATTAGACTCATTTATGCTCCTTTGGGGTCACACACCTACGCCCGACCATACCAACAGCTCCATTACCTATGCATTAGGAAACGACCAAGTAAAACGCAAATACATACACACACACGGTGTGTGTGTCTGTGTGTGTCCCTCTTAGTAAATTTACTTTTGGCCCAAATTTGTCTTCAATATTTCTAGGACACACGCGTTTATCCCCTCTTTCCATCAAGTCCTCCATTCCCTTTTGGAGCTCGCGGCCAGAGACCCGTCGCTTGCCCCGGAACTCGCCTCAGCGTTCGTCCTGCCGCTCCGCTTCGCATCCTCAGGCGTGGCCTCACAAGAACAGCGATGGCAGTGGATTTAACCACGGGGAGCGAAAACAGCGCAGAACAAGTCGATTACAACAAAACCCCCTCACCAACCCGGAACAGAGAGAGAGGCTCCCTGAAGTGCTCGACTTAGTGCAGTCCCCCGCCTTTCCAATTGGCTGCTGACACGTGACGCGGCCCGTCACCGCTCACGGCGTCTGGCGTCTGGCGTCTGGCGCGGTGACCACCGGAAGGAAGGATAAGAGCCCTGCGCCAAACTAGGAGCCCGCCTTGCGGACCAACGAGCGGCGCTGGCGGGGCGGGCGGAGTAAAATTTACTGTGATTCACGGTAGCCGGGAACTTCGACAGTGCAGCTCTTTGTACGAGAGGACCCGAGTTTGCTCGGCAGTGGGCTGCAGCACTCAGCACACCGTGCTAGGCCGCCAGCGCGGATACTGCTTTTCACCAGTGCGCAAGAGCAGCCCCCGAGCTACGTGAAAACCCAGCACGGCCAGGCCGGTGGGAGGCCAGAGAGGGGGGCGGGGCCGGGCTGAGCGGGGGAGGGGGGGTTGGCTCGGTGGACGTGACGTGCTTGAGCTGCGTAAAGTGAGACCGGGGAAGGAAACAGGCCGACCTGAAGGTTTCAAGTCGTTGGAGGTTTTCCCGCTCAGTGATTGCCTCCAAATTTCTCATACTTTCTTATTGCCTGCCGCTTCCATGACTTTGAACGACAGTTACTCGGAAGGAATTCTGCTTCCTTCCTTATGATTTAACACGGAGAAACGGCAAAAGAGGGAAATTTGGGAGAACTGTTGAAGGCGTGCGCTTCCATTTAGAGTGTGTGGGTTGCTCTTGAGCATGAGTACAGATCAGATTTCACACCCCCGAGTTTGATGAGGCCGGTCGCATTCTGGCAGGATCTGGTCATTGGCTAGGAAGTTTCCTTTAGCTCTAGAGGAGGGCAGATCTTAAGCCCAAGCTAATTTGAACCCATATTTATAGTCCAGGCTGGTAGGTTGGTCATTAAAATCAATGTTCAAAGTAAAATGGGAAATAGAAACGTGGGTAAATGTGATCATAGACAAAAGAGAAATGCACTTTCAAAAGAGGTAGCATATTAAGGTAATGTGAGATGCGGTGTTAAGCTGTTGACAAAGCACTACTCGATCAAAAGGAGCTTTATGGGAGTGGAGGTCATTGAGTTGGACCTTGATTTGAACCTTACCGAGATCGGGGGGATGGGGTGGGAGCAAGATAGCACTTAAGTGCAGATAAAATACACAGAAGTGGAAAAAACTTGGAAACAAATTATGTTTTAAAGACTTTATTTATTTATTTTTTAGAAGTAGGGGAAAGGAGGGAGAAAGAGGGAAAGAAACATCTATGTGTGGTTGCCTCTTGCTGGCCCCAAACAGGGCACCTGGCTTGCAAGCCAGGCA